CGAAAGGTGTTTCTTTGCCAAGGGAGGGACTGTCCTGCCCTCACCGTTAACTTTTGATTTTGGGTGAACCCTGGGATGCCATCTTTCCTTCTAGTAGCTTTACTCAGCAGAAATGTTCTTTGTAAAATATAACACCAACCTCTCCCACAGTGGAACAGACTGGGATTCTCTCTCCCATATGGGAGGTATGTCACAATGGATAGAGTGTCAGACTAGGACTCATTTGTCCTAGAAATTCACTGGTGGGAGGGCAATAATGAGCCTGTCGTCAAAAGACTCACCCAAATTCTAAAACGCTAGGATGGGAGACAGTGTACTGCTAGAAAAGGACTCAGGAGGCCTAACCACTTCCTAACACCTTAGATTTCCCAAAATACTTAATTAGGGTTTTGGAAAAGACTTGACAATATTAAGAATGCCATTCTTACTTTGAAAACCCATAAAAACTCCCTGGTCACCCACCCCACTACTAAACCTGCAATGTATATAAATATGTGGGAACCAAGTACAACATTCATAGAGGAAAAAAGGAATGATTATTTCAGTCCTTAAAGTGCCCCAGTTCTTCTCTTTTATTTTAATTCTGCATGGTCAATGTGACTGATACAGTTGCTTTTTTGATGGGTGAATTTTGGAATAAGTAATTATAAGTAATTTGAAATAAGTAATTTGGAACTAACAACCATTAACTCTTAAGGTTTAAAAGAACACTTAATCCTCTAAAATCACCAAATGAAGAAAATAACTGCTGGAGAAAAAGGTAGGAAGAATTAAATTTTCATTGGCAAAAACATCACTCTAAAAACTTTGTACTTTACTAGCACAAATAATGCAAACAATTATTTTCTTGTTTTCTTGTTTTTCTAGAGAACTGTCAAGAACCCTAGAATGCTCCCCCAAGAGTTTTGAGCCTGAGGTGGACCCCAAGCCACACTTATCTTCACTGTGATGGAAAGTCACTTCATCCATGAATGAATGAATTTAAGACACCTCTGACTTCTGTTTCAAGGGGGGAAATGACAATAATTCAAACACAAACTTCAAACACAGCTTCAGACCACTGGATTTCCACCCCCATCACTTCTCTTCTTTAGAGATCTAGGATTCAGTCCAAAAATCAAATATTTATAGGAAACAGAGTTGAGCCTAGAATCATAGCTGGGCCCCAAGTGCTTGCTTAGAAGGAAGACTTCATTGAATTTGACCATATAAGATTCTCCAACTCTGTTTTATGAAGGAAGTTTAAAATGTTGAAAGAGAATTTGTGGGAGTTCTCTTTTGTAAGTTTATCCCAGTGCAAGTTTTTTCGATGCTTAGTACACAACCTGCTGTCATGAAAGCTGTTACCACATCATATATTATGGCCAGAATCCTTGTCATAACATTGGAATCATGTGTCCAATTGCACATCATGCCATTTGTATTATCTCAGTATAGGGTCCGATATAGTTATGCCAGCATCACTTCATATGATTTGGTGACAAACTGGAGCCGTAATATAGTTCCGCTTCATTGCACATTATCTTGTGGGAAGTAAAATCATTCTTTCAGCTGAAGGACTTTCCATTTTGCTTACATCTGTATGACTTCTCCCCTGTGTGAGTTCTATGATGTGAATTAAGGGAACTGCTATGACTGAAGCACTTTCCACATTCTATGCACTTATATGGTTTCTCTCCTGTGTGAGTTCTAAAATGTGAACTAAGGTCAATGCTGACTGCATTTCTTTCCACATTCCATGCATTTATATGGTTTCTCCCCTGTGTGCGTTCTTTGATGTGAACGTAGAACTGTCCCCCGACTGAAGCTCTTTCCACATTCTAGGCACTTATATGGTTTCTCTCCTGTGTGAGTTCTAAAATGTGAACTAAGGTCAATGCTGACTGCATTTCTTTCCACATTCCATGCATTTATATGGTTTCTCCCCTGTGTGCGTTCTTTGATGTGAACGTAGAACTGTCCTCCGACTGAAGCTCTTTCCACATTCTAGGCACTTATATGGTTTCTCCCCTGTATGTGTTCGATGATGTTTAGTATATGTTCCACTGTCACTGAAGCTCTTTCCACATTCCATGCATTTATATGGTTTCTCTCCTGTGTGAGTTCTATGATGTGAATTAAGGGTACTGCTCTTACGGAAGCACTTTCCGCATTCCATGCATTTATATGGTTTCTCTCCTGCGTGGTTTTTTTTATGGGAACTCAGGTGACTTCTGTGACTAAAGCACTTCCCACATTCCTTGCATTTATACGGTTTCTCTCTTGTGTGGATTCTTTGATGTTGATGTAGACGTTCACTCTGCTGGAAGCTCTTTCCACATTCTATGCACTTATATGGTTTCTCTCCTGTGTGAGTTCTGTGATGTGAATTAAGGGCACTGTTCGTACAAAAGCACTTTCCACATTCTATGCATTTATATGGTTTCTCTCCTGTGTGAGTTCTATGATGTGAATAAAGGGCACTGTTCGTATGAAAGCACTTTCCACATTCTATGCATTTATATGGTTTCTCTCCTGTGTGAGTTCTATGATGTGAATTAAGGACACCGCTTTGACTGAAGCACTTTCCACATTCCATGCATTTATATGGTTTCTCCCCTGTGTGGACGCTACGATGTCGATGTAGATTTCCCATCCGACTGAAGCTCTTTCCACATTCCAGGCATTGGTATGGTTTCTCCCCCCATTTCATCTGACTCAAGACTTCCATTCCAACTACAGTATAGCTCTTCTCACAAACTGTATATTTCTCTCATAAGGGCTCTTTGATTTTTTTTCCCTACAGAATCCACCCCATGCTTCATGGAGTTTATAGCATGTCTTTAAGCTAGACTTACTCCTTCTATTTCTTTAAAGACTTGGTTTTTCCTGTTCTTTTTCTTCTGTTTATTAATGGGTTCAGGGCCCAGAAACACCAGAGCTCAGAGAAACACAGGATTCCTTCTACCCATCTTTTCAATTTCTTCTATGTTGCCATTTATTTATTCTTTTGTTTCCCTTCTTCTCTTTTCCTGCTTCAGGCTCAGTTGTTTCCAAGCATTTTCTCATTTTCCTGAGATAGAAGAAGAAATGAATTTTATTCCCAGTTCATTATACCGGTAGAAGCGGAAGGAATAAGGGATCATGCCCTAGATTCATCTTGAAGGCTCCTCCCTCCCTCCCTCCCTCTGCACCCTAGTGTGCTAAGAGCTGTAATTATATGTTAGGCTACATTAACAGAAGTAAGCCCTCTCTATTCGGCAGTGCTTAGGCCTCACAGAATCATCAAATAATGATGTTTGAAGCAGCCTATAAAGCTCTCAAGTCCACCCCAGCCGGCTCAATCCAGGCATGCAAGTCAAAGGATATCTCCCAGGTGGTTGTCTAAAATTCTCTTGAATGCCTCCAGTGTTAGATGATTGTTGTAATTCTTCCTGGAGAAAGGTGGGGTAAAAATATTTTAAATAAATAAATAAATATCATCTCTAGAGGTAATTTTTTCCATTGCTGTACTATTTGAAGTGTTAGGAGGTTTTCCTGATATTCAGTCAAAATCTGGCTTCCTGTAACTTGAGACCATTGTTGCATGTTCTGTATGATTCCTAATTCCGGGCAGAGCACAGCTGACAAATAAAGCTCAAGGCAGACCCAGGGAGCTCACGACCAGAGCTCGCAAACAGGAGAGCAAACAGGGAGATTGCCACAGCAGAGATAGGAAGAAGACCAAGCAGACAAAGACAGAAGGGTAAGTGGGTTCTTTAGAGTAACACCGGCAAAGGGCCTGAAGTAAGCCCTAGAAATTGCCCAGTTGTGCTCTACTTAGAGCCATGTGCTCAGTATAACATTGAGGGGGTGTCCTTAAGAGGAAGAGAAAGGGGTGTCCAGAGTACAGCTGAGGGCTATAAGTAGCAGCTGTGTGTTCTGGGAGGGTCTCTTGATTCCTAACTCAAGGCAGACCACAGCTGATAAATAGAGCACAAGGCAGACACAGGGAGCTCACAACCAGGATAGCAAACAGGGTGTTTAACACAGGAGTTCACCAGCGGAGGCCAAGAAGAAGGCCCCTAAAAATTTTTTTTGGTTGATCTTGGTATATGTAGAACTACATTTAAACTAACAAAACAAGAGGGACAGGTATCCTAAACAAACAGTTGAAAATTAAAACCAACCTGGAAGGGATTATGGAGGGTGGAGACAGTTCAGTTGTGGTTAGGAGGAAATGAAGGAGAAGACACTCTTTTCCAGTGGAACTACAAAACCACTTCCAGTTACTTGAAGAAGAGTCGGTCGGACAGGACGCAGAGGAGACCCCACAGGAAGACATGACTAGGGCTGAAGCACAGCAGAATACCCACACCCCACAAACAGAAGAAGAGGAGAGTAGTTGCAGTAGGGAACTCCCTGCTATGTAGAATTGAGACCGAAATATGCCAGGAAGGTCCATGGACCTTGCCAGGTATGCTGTCTCCCTGGACGAAAGGGTGGATGAAAGGATTGGCATCACTCATAACACCTACAGATACATATTCCTTTCTTCTTGCCCACGTGGGAACAAACAACACAGCCAAGAGGAGCTACCGAGAAATCATGTCTGACTTTGAAGCTCTGGAAAGGAAACTCAAGGACTTTGGCGCCCAAAGAGCTTTTTTTCCCCCTCCTACAAAAATCAAAAGGGAAAGGAAGATCCTCTGGGTGAATGACTGGATACAAGCCAAGAGGAGCTACCGAGAAATCACGTCTGACTTTGAAGCTCTGGAAAGGAAACTCAAGGACTTTGGGGCCCAAAGAGCTTTTTTTTCCCCTACAAAAATCAAAGGGAAAGGAAGATCCTCTGGGTGAATGACTGGATACAAAGGTGGTGTCAACAAGAGGGATTTGGTTTTTGGGACCACAGGCTAAGCTTCCTGGGAGAAGGACTGCTAGCAAGAGACGTATTGCATCTAACAAGGACTGGGAAGCATGTGCTTGCTCACAGCATGAAGAACTTCATCAGGAGGGCTTTAAACTGAATGGGAAGGGGGAGGGAGACGCAAGCACAGAGTTAAGGGTAGATGAAGCCTTACACTTAATAAGAGGAATGGACCAAACTGATCAAAAGGGCAACAATAATAACATTGACAAGAATAATCACAATAATAAACACAACAATAATCATAATAATCATTGTCATGGCATAGATTATTAAGTTTAAAATGTGAATTATGAATGGGATATGTAGTTATGGAAAGTTGTAGAAAGAATCCATATTGGTTCTATGTTAGCATGATTTTGTGCCATGAGAATGTTTTCTCCATGAGGGGAATGGAAAGTTCCATGTAAGCAGCCTTGTCCTGAGATGAGAAGGAGCCAAGACTCAACACCCTTGTTTGGATCAAGACCCGAGATGAGGGGATGGGAAAACAACCACCTGTACTTCTCATGGGAAACAGAGGTGTGATGAGAAGAGACTGTCCTTTATGTCTCTTGGTTAACATCTTGAAGCAATGAAGAAGAATGGTGGTGCCAATAAGGAAGAAAACTGAGGATGTGGACAGAATTATTCATTCATTCATTCATTCATTAAACTTAGAATGGAGAATTAGAATGGAGGATTCAGATGCCAGTTTTTAGTGCTTTTTGCTAAAAAAAAAAAGCACTAAATCTCTCTACTACATCTTTGCTAAGATGTAATAGAGAGAAAGAATAGAGGATGGGGCTAACCCTTGCCTGCCTTCCAAACAGCTTTTCAGATTTTTATTTCATTTTTGCTAGATGGAATTTGTTAAGATTCTAACTGCAATATCTTATGGAAATGTAACTGATGCTTTGCTTATGCAACAAATTGTATATCTCTAAATACTTTATTTTTTCTAATATTTATTTATTTATTTATTTATTTATTTATTTATTTATTTATTTATTTATTTATTTATT